TGTTCCCCAGGAAGCTTACGCGTAGCTTTCCAAGGACATGTGATGATCTGCGTGTACCTCCAACAACATTAACTTGTACCTCTAGAAAAAGTCTTAGCTCAAAAAACTCTTTGATTTCCACTAGCCAGAGAGCATCATGGCTCAGTGGATTAAGGTGCTGGTTACCAAGCCTGACCTGAGTTCCATCCCTGGAACCCATGTGGTTGAGAGATTCAACTTCTACAAGTTATCGTCTATTAATCTTCCCATTCATGCTGTGGCATACACAATAAATAAGTAGCCGTAGGATTTTTAATTTTTTTAATCCATTGGGAAAATGCAAGTATAATTGTATTAAATTTCTAATTTAGAATTTTTAACCTTTACCAACTTACAAAGTTCAATAGTTACTTAAGTCTGATGCTTTTTAGGTTCAAAATTGTCCTTTTAAAAAAAAATTAAACATTGATAATCAACTTAAACTTTTTTTTTTCTTTTTATCGAGACAGGTTTTCTCTGTAGCTTTGGAGGTTGTCCTGGAACTTGCTCAGTCAACCAGGCTGGCCTGGAACTCACAGAGATCGGCCTGTCTTTGCCTCCTGAGAGCTGGAATTAAAAGCGTGTGCCACCACTGCCTGGCAATAATCAACTTAAACTTAATGAGAAAGTGATTTAAAAGATGTAGTTGGCCACTTTTTTAAAGGTTTGAGACAAGGTTTCTCTATGTGGCCCTGGGTGTCCTGTAACTCAGTAGGTAGACCAAGCTAGTCTCAAACTCAGAGGTCTACCTGCCTCTGCTTCCCGAGTACTAGGACTAGAGGTGTGTGAATAATGCCCCTCAAGTTGTCCACTCTTGACTGAAAACCCAAAAAGCTGTTCAGTCTCCTAAGGGTGATTCTAGTTGCAAATGTCACGGGGAGTTGCCGAGCGGTTGGTGCCGAGCGGTTACATGCCTTTAAGCCCAGCACTTGGGAAGCAGAGGCAGTCAGATCTCAGTGAGTTCAAGGCCAGCCTGTTCTACAAAGAGAGTTCCAGGATAGCCACGGCTGTTACACAGAGAAACCTTGTCTCAAAAAATAAATAAATAGAAAAGTCATAGGGAGTCAGGCTGTCAAGGACTCCCTGGAAGTGCACAGCTGCCAGAATGCAGGGTGAAGTAACCTAACATACTCAGGTAGCTGATACTCATTGTCCCACACATTTTAATTTTTTCTTCTATGTTAGAAATGTTAAGTAAGCAAAGATGTTTGCATGCTTATTTGATTTTTTTATCTTATTTCACACAAGTCTTTACTATAGAAGGTTTTAAAAAGAATGTAGACCCAAAACAGAACCAAGAGCTGTTCTGTCTTCATCTTAGTTATAGTCCAGTTTACATGAGTTTTTGTTGGCACATTTTTTTAGGTGTATTTTAAAAGCTCAACTAGTTAATTAAAAAAATTAAAAGATACTACAGGAGCTATGCTAGGTTTATTGTTTGGTTTTCTTTTCAAGATTTGACCACTTCATCAAGTTCTGGTTCTAGAGTTTCTGGTTCCCCTTGTCATCACAGTGATTCTAACTCATCTGAGAAACACATGTCACGAGCCTCTCAACGAGAAGGTACGTTAAAAACTGGGTTTCCAACCTTACAGCAATAGATTCTATCAGATAGCGTTCTTTCTTTCTTTCTTTCTTTCTTTCTTTCTTTCTTTCTTTCTTTCTTTCTTTCTGTGGTTTTTCGAGTCTATTCTGTCACTCGCTCTATAGACCAGGCTGGCCTCAAACTCAGAGATCCGCCTGCCTCTGCCTCCCCAGTGCTGGGATTAAAGGCGTGCGCCACCAACACCTGGCCAGATAGCTTTCTTTGGTTTAGTTTTAGTCCATAAAAACAAAACCAATAATCAGTCATCATTTGAGAAGGCCAACCATCTTGTGCTTTAACCTCTGATGGAAGCATTGCTTTTATTGCCCTGGCCCAACCTTAATTTCGTCTAGTTGGGAACTGTATTTAAGAAATGGAGATTAGCCGGGCAGTGGTGGTACATGCCTTTAATCCCAGCACTTGGGAGGAAGAGGCAGGTGGATCTCTGTGAATTTGAGACCAGCCTGGACTACAAGATCTAGTTCCAGGACAGCCTCCAAAGCCACAGAGAAACCCTGTCTTGAAAAACAAAAAGAAGAAAAAAAAGAAAAAATGGAGATTCTAGGGGGCTGGAGATATGGCTCAGAGGTTAAGAGCACTGGCTGCTCTTGGAGAGGACCAGAGTTCAATTCCCAGAAACCACAAGGTGGCTCACAACCATCTATAATGAGATCTGGTGCCCTCTTCTGGTATGCGGGCAACATGTAGTTAGAACACTGAATACATAATAAATAAATAAATCTTAAAAAAAAAAATAAAAGAAATGGAGATTCTAAACAAGGATGCCGTGAAAATTAAATCAGTGTATGCAGAGCTATGCCTGGTGGCACAGCCTATATAATCCAGCACTTGCGAGAGGCAGGAGTATCAAGAGTTCAAGATCATCCTCATCTACAGGGACTAATAAACCAGCCTGGGCTACATGAGACCCTATCTCAAAAACCAGCAGCAGCAGCAACAACAAAGTTTTTTCTCTTGATACTAAATATCTAGGCTGCTTTCTTATAACATCTGTGAAAATGGTTCCTACATATTCTGATGAACAGCAGTGGCATATTAGGAACTAGGCTAAAGGAAATGGTGCAGCTTATAGTAGAGTCACCAGGAAGATGTCTCTCACCCTTGTTTTTATTTTTATTTTTTTATTTTTTTTTATTATGTACACAACATTCTGCTTCCATGTATATCTGCACACCAGAAGAGGGCACCAGATCTCATAACGGATGGTTGTGAGCCACCATGTGGTTGCTGGGAATTGAACTCAGGACCTCTGGAAGAGCAGTCAGTGCTTTTAATCTCTTAGCCATCTCTCCAGCCCATCACCCTTGTTTTATATCTCCTTTTAGTATGGATAGAGACTTGCAGTTGTTTAACTTATAATTTTTCCAGTTTTATAGTGGTATAAAGTGGCATGCATTCAACAGAAACCAAACTTCACATTTTGAATTTTGATCTTTTCCCCAATGAGCAATATACATAACTTTTTCTCATGTTTCTGGAAAGTAGCAGGGCATCCTCTAATCAGCCACACCATTATAAAAATAAATAGCCAATACTGTACAACAAGCTGTCTCAGAGCTGTGGTGTCCAGTGGGTTGGGTGTATTGAATGCATTACACCCTAAATATTTTCAACTTTGGATGAGTGTGTTAAAAAGAGTATAAAGGAGCATCTGCCCTGTCCTTAGGGGCCATAAATCATGATCTTTTTCTAAAAGGCAGTCCTGTACTCCCAAGTATTTTCTTCTTTGGTCTATAGACCAGTAAGTGCTCTGAGTTGAGAATTGTGACCTTAATTTTGTAGATTCCTCCTATGCACATGACTTGAGTTTTTAAAGAGCCTTTTTTTAAAAATTTATTTATTATGTATACAACATTCTGCTTCCATGTATATCTGCACACCAGAAGAGGGCACCAGATCTTATAACGGATGGTTGTGAGCCACCATGTGGTTGCTGGGAATTGAACTCAGGACCTCTGGAAGAGCAGTCAGTGCTCTTAACCTCTGAGCCATCTCTCCAACCCTTAAAGAGCCTTTTAAGATACAGATCCATTGAAAAAAGACCCCACTCAGCTTTCATGCCTCAGATCACTTGTTATTCCTGCTGCAAAATTCACATTAAGTGGGGTTAGGGAAGCCAACCATGTTTTTACGTGTAGTATAATATAAGGAGCAAACTAAGGGATGGAGGCAAGAAGGTGGTTGCCAGGGTTCTGCCTTAGTCCTAGGATAACAAAAATCCAAAATCTTTAATTTTTTTGTATCTCAGGAGTTTCACCACGAAATAGTCTTGAAGTCTTAACCCCTGAAGTTCCTGGTGAGCGAGACCGTGGAAACTGCATCACATCCTTACAGCTGCATCCCAAAGGCTGGGCCACCCTTCTTCGGTGCTCAAGCAACACTGATGATCAGGAGGTATAGGCTGCAAAGATTCCCATTCAGTAGGGCTCATGGGAAAAATTGTCCTTGCCCTGTGTGCAGACCTCAGGCTCAGTCCCTGCCCACAGGGCATACTACCAGAACCCTGCTTTTCAACTCCTCTACCTCCCCCTCTGTTGCTTTTATCCTTTACAGTCTCTTCTTCCTCTCCTGCTGTGGTGTAGTGAGCTGAGAAGTGCCCTAAAGACCACCATCAGCTGATATGCCCCCATTCTTGCCCCCATCATGGAAAAGAAACAAGAAAAACCATATATATTACATGTTACACCAAGTTGTTCAGCTAAGCTAACTAAATGTGAGGTTTAGGCTTTAGTAAGATAGTTATCATCACTGTCTCTTAAAAATCCAGGGGAAACTGAGAAAGAAAGGGGCTAAACTGATGCCTGGAGGAAGAGTTAGGATCATCCCAGCACTCAGGAGGCAGAGGCAGGTGGAGCTCTGTGAGTTCAAGGCCAGCCTGGTCTACTACGTGAGTTCCAGGACAGCCAGGGATGCACAGTGAAACCCTGTCTCAAAACAAAACAAAGACCTTAGCATCTTACCACTGTGGTAGCCACAGGAGTCTAAAAGGAGTTTACTGGCTCTACAGACCAAACTGAAGGATGGCAGAAAGGCCTTTGAAGTATGCAGAGGACAGACATACTGTGGGCCCAGGATTGTTGCTGCCCTCAAAAAAGGAGATGTATTACTCCTGAAGTCCTAGCCAGCCTCAGGAACAAGAGGTCGTTAAGCGTTATAGCACACAACAACTCTAGCTTATGAAGATAAAGAAGGGTGAAGTACACATTAGGTAAGAGGGGTGATATTCATCTAACTTATTTCTAGCAACACTTGTGTGGTTTTGGCTCTCTGTTGAGCTTCTCAGAAATCAAGAGTATCTCTGCAGAACTACTTGGGGACCTATGACCTTGTTTTGTCTTCTTTCTCCTCCAGTGGACTTGTGTCTATGAATTCCAAGAAGGAGCTCCAGTGCGACCTGTCTCACCTCGCTGTTCCCTGCGTCTGACTCATTACATCGAAGAAGCCAATGTAGGCAGGGGCTACATCAAAGAACTTTGCTTCAGCCCTGATGGACGAATGATTTCTTCCCCACATGGCTATGGGATTCGCTTGTTGGGATTTGACAAACAGTGCAGTGAGCTTGTTGACTGTTTACCCAAAGAAGCCAGTCCTCTACGGGTGATTCGCTCTCTGTACTCTCATAATGATGTGGTCCTGACAACAAAGTTCTCTCCAACACATTGTCAGATTGCCTCAGGGTGCCTTAGTGGACGGGTCTCTTTGTATCAGCCAAAGTTTTAGGCACAACTTACATCAAATAAGGAACTCTTCTGGTGTTTGGCTTATGAATTACTTCAATTTAGGTGAAGTATTTTCTTTTTTAGAAGATCTTATAAGTTTGGGTCAAGATCTTGTTCTTATAGGTTGGTGAACACATATGTGACCCAAGTATTTGGCCATCTGGCATCATCCGGGCATCTCCATTTCGACCATGCAGCATCGTTCTGTCAGCATTCCTTTGCTCCTGCTGTCTGTGCCACTGAGCTTGGGTATTCCTGGTCATTTTGCATGTGGCTCTTGTTCTTTCTCCCATCCCTGTTTCCACCACTCCTCCATGCCTCCCTTCCTCTTTTTTGATTTTGGTATGAATTTTGTGAACATTTGACAAGAGTCATGGTTGGGATGAGGAAAAACCTGTGGCACTAGTACTAAATAAAACCCAGAAGCTGGATGTTGGCACACCAGTTGTTGAAAAAAGAAAGTTCATCTTCATTTATCAGTACATTTGGCCTTTAAAGTTGCTGTCAAATATTGAGCACAGATAATGGCGTTATTCTCATAAATGATACTCTTGCAACAAAATATCTTTTTTAAAATTTCCTGTTAAAATTACACAAGTTATCTCATGTGAGATTTTTGTTGTGAAATTCTAGAAAAATATTATAACTTCTTTGTAATTTATTTACTTGTATGAATTTAAAATCTCCAGCATGTGTCTTTGTTATTTTGTTCCTATCCTCAGCATTGGAAAGCAAAGGAAAAGGAATAAGCTCAGTCACTTCCATTGTCCAGAAGAGTTCATTAGGTTGGTGCAGTGTCTGTCCATAGAATGAGAAGGTGAATGTGGCTTAGATTGGCTGTGGTTCTTTGAATCACACAGATGAGTTGTTCTAGTAATGGGGTGGAGGAGACAAATATTTTATTGTTGTTCCTTCAGCCAGAGATCATAAGCTCAGCTCTCACCATTAGTAAGAAGGGAGCTGTAGTCCTTTTTAAGCTGTTGTCATAAAAGTCATGGTCTGACTTGAGTAGCACTGTCTTATGTTTGGTTATGGAAAGTATCAGGCAAGGTGTGAAAGCAAAGTTACTCCTGTCTTGAATGGGCAATATCCTTCCAGTCTCTGATACATTGATTGGCACTGTGTTGAGATATGCTAGAAGCTGGACAATTTAAGCCATGCAGTAGCCTTGCTCTCTTTGGTCACATGCCTTTTAAGCCAGTGTTTCTCAAATATTAGGATGCAGTATAATCCTTGAAGGATTTGTGAAAAATGCAGGAATCGGCCTGACCTTAGAAGACTGATTTAGGCAGGGAAAGGACAGGACTCCATTTAAACAGAATCATAATCATCTGTATCCAGGTGGCCTCCAGGTCATAGCTTGAAAACACAACCTGAAATTGCAGTAGGTATTTCTGTATCCACTTGGTGCTTAACACAATTCCCACAAGATGTTTCAACTATTTAAATAGTAATAATAATAAATTAACAATAGCAATTTTAGGGCAGAAAAATAACTTGAAATGGTATTCATTTCATTGTTGGACAAATGAAAGAAGTTAAATGATTTGCCTAACATCATACAAAGTTAGTGATAAAGTCAGGGCTTCAATTCAAGTCTCTTAATTCCTTGCCCAGGGCAGTTTCTACTGTGTTTATGCTGGCTGTTAAAAACATCAGTGACTATGGGCATTTTGTCTTTAGATTATATTGTTGTGAATAAAATGATCAGATTGAAAAAGGCAGGTATGGTAGTAGATGCTGACAGTTTTACCTATAGTAAAAAAAAAAAAGTTTTAATACTTACAGAAATATTTAAACAGCCCAAATACATGAATAAATACACAGTTCTCTATAGTGTCCATTAGCCACTCTAGGACAATCTTTAAAAATTAGGTCTTCTTGCCGGCATTGGTAGCTCTTGCCTTTAATCCCAGCACTTAGGAGGCAGAGGCAGGTGAATTTCTGTGAGATCGAGGCCAGCCCTGTCTACAGAGCTAGTTCCAGGACAGCCTCCAAAGTAATACAGAGAAAGCCTGTCTCAAAAAAACAAAAAACAAACGAAAATTAGATCTTCTTATCATAGATGTTGGAAAAGCTGGAAATTTTGTAGTCGTTGAAAAAACAACAAAGCACACTGAAAACCATAGACTTGCTTCCATAGCTTTGAAAAAAACTTCCCCAAAGAGAATAGTTTAGAAGGAAAATATTACAATTAAAACTACCACAATTACAAACTATTAAGTATAAAGATTAAATTGACATTCAAAAGAAGATTCCATAAATGTTAACAGTTTGGAAAGAGTTCTGTATCAGATGGTATGCCCACATGTCACCTAAGTCAAGCCAGGGGTTCTTGAATCATTGTTTTTGAATACCTACTATGTGTTAAAGAATGTGTCTGCTTTGCTACTGACCCCTATAAAGACCTCTTACAAGGTAGGTGGAATAAGCCTCAGATCATGTTGAAGGTAGCAGTGGGTCAGAAAAATGAAGTGACTTGCCTGAAGCCAGTTGGTGGTGGCAGCACTGGATTCAGATCCATGTTTGCCTGTTTATTTATCACTAAGTCTGTACTTACTCCTCTACCATTTTGCCCCTTGGTTCATGAAGGATGAGCTATACTGGTCTGTTAATTTATGTGCTCAGTATCTTCTGCAAATTTTTATTACAAGGCTGGCCTCATTCCCTTCACAACTGCGTAAAAGAACATTGCAAGCACTGATGTTTCCATGAGACTAAAGATCTTAACCCCAGGCATACACGTGAAAAATTAAGCAGGACAACCACTTGTGATTTTGAAAAAATGTAGAGGATAGTCAGCTTTGTGTGAAAGCAAAGCCACATAGATGAGAACTGAAAAGAACCAGCAAACATAGCAAGGAGCCTTTGCTCTCTCTGAGGTATAGTCAAGGGTCAAGACAAAAATCAGACAGTATTAACCAAGAATTGAAGGGCCTCAGAAAGCCTATGCTATTGAAAAAAGATACATATTACCATCTTAAGGTCCCATTTTAACAGTCTAAAAATCTGGTATTTTTTACTGTTTTATTAAATCATCTTAATTGTTAATGAAGTTATTACTGTTGGAAGTCATTCTGGCTAAACTCTTCCTTCACAACTCTATTAATGGGAATACTATGTTGAATGACTTAGATGCATCCAATATATAATAGTTGTTTTTTTTTTAATCAGGAAATGAAGGGCTAAAATAAGAGACTTTTCAAAAGTGATCATGGGGCTGGAGAGATGGGTCAGCAGTTAAGAGCACTGGTTGCTTTTCCAGAGGACCCAGGTTCAATTCCCAGCACCCACATAGCAGCTCACAACTCTCTATAACTCCAGTTCCAGGGCTTGACACTTTACACAGACATCCATGCAGGCAAAACACCAGTGAACATAAAAATTATTTTTAAAAAAGTGTGATCATATCTGGGGGTGGTGGCACATGCCTTTAATCCCAGAACTGGGGAGGCAGAGGCACAGGGCTACTTAGTGAGCTTGAGGCCAGCCTGGTCTATAAACTAAGGTTCCAGGCTAGCCAGTGGGACCCTGTTTTGTTTTTTGTTTTTTTGTAAGTGCTGTCTTTTCTCAAAGCCCAAATCATACGTATATTTTGTTATTTCTCCCTGTTGTATCCCTAAGAAGACTCCACAACAAAAATTTTAAGGAAACAACACAAGGAAAAGATAAATTTCATGTTCCCTTCTTCTGTATCTAGGACCAAATCACCTCATATAATCTTCAAGGTTGTCGTTCTAGAAGGTGAGTACAGGGGAAACATCCCAAGAATCTCTTAGAAGACTGGCATGTCTCAGGTTGGTGTATGCAGCATTGTGTCTGTTACACTTTGCTTTTGTTTTTTTTCGTTTTTGTTTTTGTTTTTTTTTCAAGACAAGGTTTCTCGGTCTAGACCTGGCCATCCTGGAACTCGCTTTGTAGACCAGGCTGGCCCCCAACTCGGAGTTCCCTCTGCCTTTGCCTCCTAAGTGCTGAGATTAAAGGCATGCACCACCATGCCAGGCTTTTGTTAGGCTTTTGTAAAAGCAGGAGATATGGCCTGGTAACTTCCTGATGACAATCATCCTCATTCAGTGACCAACCAGTGGTCCTTGGGTGCTGTATAGGTCCACTTAGTAACACCTTCTGTTGGTCATGAAGGAATCCATATATATGAATTCTGTTTGGATAACTAATGCATATCTCTTAAGTGCCAAAATTTTACATTTGTAGTTATTTTTGATGCTAGTCTCTTAGGTATGGTAGTCTACCTCCTGCCTTCTTAAACAGCATGCTCAGTCTAATTCACTTTATCTTGATGAAGTTACATTCATGTTGTGTTATTGTGAATACCCAATAAGCTCTGTTACATGTAGAACATTTCATAGAACACAAAGGGCTATAAGAAATGTGAGGAATATCTTTTAGCAAGTGATTGCCTCAACTATGTAATTATTTGCCTCATTGTTAGCTTTTTTAAAAAATGTATTGAGAAGTAATGTATTCTATCAACATGCCTGTTACTAGCAGGCTCCTACTTTCTTCTGTGCTGTCTTTAAGTTATAGGCTGTGACATGAGTTAACCAGTCCTGGTTGCTGCCTACAAGAATAACTGGGCAAACTCTGGGCACATATTGAGACAGCTCCTTTGGCTGTGTTCTACTCACCATCTGAATCATGGAGCTTCCAGTTAAAGGTGGGGGCTGCTTTTCCATTGCCAACCAAGTAAAAACTAGCACCGAACTGAAGCAGAGTACGTCTGCAAGGGGTCCTTCCTGCTTCTAAGAACAGAAGAGTACAGAAGAGGAAGGAAGGAAAAGGGAACTCCAGAGATGCCATTGAAATGTACATTGGTTATCACCTTAAAAGACACTGTAGAGTAAGAGCGCACTAACATCTACATCCTAGAGGTAACTCCTGACAATGTCCTGAGAACTACTCCCATTCAAATAATAATGGAAATTATCGTCAACAGGAAAATCTCCAGTTTGCCTTTATGCTGCTGTCTTGAGTTATAAAGACCTGATAGAGGTTTAACCAAAAGCCCCAAGGAGCACATCTTACGCCCACATCTTTTGAATGTATGTATATATAAATGCCACTATAAGTGACACCCCCAGGATTGATAAAATAATGTTCAGGATTTAAATCTAGTCACAGTCTTTAAGATAGACCAAATCTGTAGCTTTCCCAAGCCTCTGGCTCATAGATTTCATGGCTTTTACACTAAAGAATAGATATCTCCAAACTCTGCTCATCTCTTCCCTTCCTTCCTTCCTTCCTTCCTTCCTTCCTTCCTTCCTTCCTTCCATGTTAGGTTTGTATCTTTGGCAAACTTGGAATATTCTAATTAATATACTGTCATCAGAACACTTTCTCACAGGATCTAAGGTGCTATTGGTCCTTCTGCTAGACTGTGCGCTCCTTGTGGGCAGGGCTATCTTCTTTATTCTTGTATCCACGGTGCCTGGGAGAGGATCTAACAGAGTAGTTGTTCAATAAATATCTGTTGAATGGATAAAATGAGCTTTCTGTATGTGTGGCCTCAAGTTCTCATGAAGCCAGAATGTGATGGAAAAGTTATGGAGCCCCAGAGGCAGTATTGAGTGGTAGTTGTTGGGGTTTGGGGGTCTTTTCGGGGGGTTGGTTTTGTTTGGGGGGTTGTTGTTTCTGTTTAAACAGTAGGCTGTCTTCATCTGAGAATTTTTTTTTTTTTGATTTTGAAAACTAAATTAGGACTCTAGTTTTCATTGAACATGAATTTGAACCCTGATATGCCTAGTCTAGTACTAGGTACCCAGAGAACAGAGATAAAGATAAGGTCTTTCTGTAGAAGCATATGAGACAGATGTGGATCCAGGACTGCCATTACAGGGCTGTGGAGTTTTAAAGGCTCCATACTTGTTTTATGCCCAGTTTTAAACTTGGGAACAGCAGCACTATATTTTCATGTGGCTCTTAGCTCACACATTAACAAGTTCTTACTTAGATGGCCATTGTAGGAACTATAAATTACACATCTTCCACCTACCTTTTAAGTAAAGACATTCAAAGAGAGCTACAAAATGCATAGCTTAATTTGTAATCTATAATTAAAGCTTCTTCCACAAGGGTTTTGGTATGTGGAATGTCCATTTCAGAATAGGAGAAGCTTTCTAAGACTGTAAATGTCTTTACCTTTCCCAGTGAATTGTTTTCAGCCTTTGAGTGGATAGACTTACAGATGACCACCATACACCTACATACAATCTTCCAGGTTTTACTAAACCTTTCTATGTGCACTGAATATGCTGGTACCTGTCTACCTCATTATGTGATTTTTAAGAAATAAATGTTACTTGCAAACATTTGACACACTTTTGTTTGTGATTAACATGTTTGAAAGGTCACTAGAATATCAAATATATTGGCTTGAAATATTTTGCTTTAACTATCTGGGTTTTTAGATCAGGATTGGCCATAAGGTTGAAACAGAGGCAGTAACAGAGTAATAACTTTTCTGACCATGTAACCTCCAGAAAAAAATTATGAATTCATGACAAATTTTTGTTGTTTTGTTCTTTTTTTTTTTTTTTTTTTTTTTTTTTTTTTTTTTTTTTGGTTTGTTTGTTTGAGAAAGGTGCATAATGTAGCTCTTATTGGCCTGGAACTTACTATGTAGACAATGCTGCCCTCAAATTCTTTTTTTTTTTTTTTTTTCTTTTTTTTGGTTTTTGGTTTTTCGAGACAGGGTTTCTCTGTGTAGCTTTGGAGCCTATCCTGGCACTCGCTCTGGAGACCAGGCTGGCCTCGAACTCACAGAGATCCACCTGCTTCTGCCTCCCAAGTGCTGGGATTAAAGGTGTGTGCCACCAACGCCCGCCTCAAAGTCATAGAAGCCCATCTGCCTCTGCCTCCTGAATACTGAGATTAAAGACACGTGCCATCGGTATGGGCCTGGCTCCACATTTTGATTATTTACCAATTATGCTATTATATTAATCTATTGTCATTTAATAACATATGCATAGCTGGGCAGTGGTGGTACACACCTTTAACCCCAGCACTTGGGAAATAGAGGCAGGCAGATCTCCAAGTTTGAAGCTAGCTTGGTCTACAGAGCAAGTTCCAGAACAGCAGGAATATACACACAGACACCCTGTCTTGAAAATAAACAAACAAAAAATATGCAGAAGAAAAAGTGTAACACTTGAAAGTCAAAGTTCTACATTTCTCCTTGCACTAGAGAGGTAAGAATAGAATGATTTAGCCAGGTCAGTGCCTTGTATTTCCAAGCAGTACGGAAACTGAAATACAAAGATCCCTTGTGCCTGTTATCATGATGCTATCTCAAAACTAAACAAATAAGAATGATTTTCATCCAACTCAGCCAAACTAGATGCACCGATTTATCAAATTGTAGTTCTAATTTTCAATGTTACTCCTTTCACTGACATATTTGGGGCTACTTAATAACAGGATGTTTTAGCTGGGCATGGTGGTACGTGCCTGTAATTCCAGCACTTGAGAGGTTGAGGCAAGAGTATCACAAGTTTAAGGCCAGTCAGAGCCTTGTATTCTCTAGCTTACTGTTTCTCCCCCTACAAAACCCATGACATAGTATGTTCTCATGGTTTCTCTGATACAGTTTCTTTTTAAGATTTATTTATTAATTATGTATACAGTGTTCTGCCTGCCTGTAGGCCAGAAGAGGGCACCAGATCTCATAGATGGTTGTGAGCCACCAAGTGGTTGCTGGGATTTGAACTCAGGACCTCTAGAAGAGCAGCCAGTGCTCTAACCTCTGAGCCATCTCTCCAGCCCTCTGATACAGAGTTTTGATAATCATGACCAATATGTTTATGGGTTCTCTTTTTTTGTATTTGATCTATCCAGACAGGGTCTCTCTGTGTAACAGCCCTGGCTGTCCTGGTAATCACTTTGTAGATCAGGCTAGCCTCAAACTCAGATCTGCCTGCCTCTGCCTCAGGAGTGTTGGGATTAAAGGCATGCAACACCACGACCTTGGGGGATCTGAGTTTCATCTCCAGCATCCATATAAAAATTCAGGTGTCATTGGTGAATCCCAGAGC